TTTTTTTTTTTTTTTTTTTTTTTTCTTTTTGAGTTAGCGTCTCACTCTCACCCAGGCTGGAGTGCAATGTCACACTCACGGCCACCATAGCCTCTACCTGCTAGACTCAGGCAATCCTTCTGCCTCAGCCTTCCAGTTAGCTGAAACCACAAGCAAGCTCTACTACACCTGGCTAATTTTTGATTTATTGTAGAGACAAGGTCTTGCCAAGTTGCCCAGACTGGTTCAGGCAATCCTCTCGCCTCCACCACCCAAAGTGCTGGCATTACAGGTGTGAGCCACCATACCCAGCTAAAATACACTTCTATTTTTTGGTGAGTTGATCTTTGCCAGTTCATCACCCCTTGGAGATGCTACCCAACCCCTTCTGGGAATATGCCAAAAAAGTGGCTCTCATGAAGGCAATCAGCGTGAGACTAGAGAGCACCAGCCACACGGTATGCCCTGCATTTCGTGACCCAGTGAGCAAGACAGTCAGGACCCCCAGAAACCAAGGGCAAGATGTCTACATATGCCTTCTTTGTCCAGACAAAGAGGAGGGACATAAGAAGAAACTCCAGAGGTCCCTGTCAATTCTGCAGCACTTTTCAAGTGCTCTTGGAAGTAGAAGGCACTGTCTGGGAAAGAGAAGTCTAAATGTGATGAGGAGACAAAGGTGGAGGAAGCAGGGAGGCTCTGATGGGAAATGAAGGATCGGGGACCGGACCAGCTCCGGGAGGCAAGAAAAGAACCGAACGCCCCCTGAAGACCGCCGCCCGGATTCTTCCTGTTCTCTTCAGAACTCCATCCAGCATCAAATCTCCAGACCCTGGCACTGCTGTTGGAGACGTGGCAGACAAGCTGGGTGAGCTGTGGAGTGACAAGTGGCAGTGAGAAGCTGCCTTAGGACAGCAAGGCAGGAAGCTGCTGGAGATAGAAGAGCACACATCGTCAACTCTGAGTCTAAAGGGAAGTTGGGTGGTACAAAGAAGGCCTGGCAAAAGGTGGCAGAGGAAGAGGATGAATAAGAAGCGACTTCTCTGTCCACCGTAAAAAAGACCATGCCAAACCAAGAGACACTCG